TGGCGAAGCTGTAAGACACGCTCGCTTTCCGACGCCGAAAAACAGCATTCAAACGAGGCGTGAAGAGGCATATTGTAGGCAGGCAGGGTGGAGGTGGCTAGTGCAGTGAGGGTTTCATCGCTGCACTAGGTTCCTTCGCGTTTGGATACCACTTTCCACTTAACATCAGGTGGAGTGGAGTCATTTGCCTGTCATGTATAAAAAAAAAAAAATTTTGTTTCATTTGTCCGAAAACACGTTACGGTTTTTTTCATTACACCCTTTTAATGTTTCACTATTTTGACATATTGACAAGTTATTCTTTTCCCGATTTTTATTTCCCCAACAAACCGTTTGACCAATATATCTAATTGAATATTTTTATTTTGTAAGAAAACTATATCCATGATACATTTTTGTTATATTATTTTTTATTACAGATATTAAAAGTATTAGAACGTTTCGCACAAACAACTCGTCAAATTAAAGCACCTTGCACCTTTAGAAAATATGGTAAACGAGATGCAAGTTAATTTGGTTGAGTTGTAGTTGCTCGCTTCGCTCGCTCGGTTTGTGCGGCTTTTTCATATACTAACGTAACCTAAACCTACAGGAAGGGTCGTACCGTCTAGGTAATGCAAACAAATTCGGCTCTGGCACTCGCCGCCCGCTAACGTGGCACTCTCGCTTCGCTCGCTCGGCTCGTGCGGCCTTTTCAAATACTAACCTAACCTAAACCCACAGGAGGGGGTCGTAGCGTCTAGGAAATGCAAACAAATTCGGTTCTGGTACTCTCCTCGATTCAGTTATGTTATTTATTGAATACTCAAGACCATTGTTTTTAAACTACATTTCCGATGACAGCAAAAATATAGCACAATGGTATGACGAAAATTACGTAAGTGGACTTTCTGTGCACCAGCAAAGTACAGTCCAGAATTTTTTGTCTGTACGGTAAAATTGTATGGCGGTACAATTTTATTTAAGAATAATAATTTAGTCGAAACGAATTTTCAGCAATCTAAATTATATGGAAAACAGACAGTATAACATACATGATTAAACCAAACAAATTTATTCCCAAAGAATATGTAAGTACCTATGTGTAATAATTATTCTAATAATACGTTTTCGGACAAACGATACTTCAGCTGTAAGACATTTCTGTGTTGCAAATTTATATCAAAACTCTAGCACTAATGAAAAAAAGTCGAACTGTTTTCGGAGTAATGAAATTCGGAAAAAAAAAATTCGAGTTTGTGATAGGTTACTCTCCACTGTACTTACACGATGCAAGTAAATTATACGTTAAAGTAAGTCGGACCAGGGTTTAATTAAGTAGTTTTCCGCATCTTATAGCTTTATTTAGATTCTAAAACTAATATTTCAAAAAAGTATGGATTTAGTTTTTAAAGAATAAGATAGTAAAAGTTGTAGTACCTAGGTATAAAATTCAGTTGTAATAAAAAAAAACGGATTTAAGTAACATAGTAAACAGTTGATTATCTATAGTGATAACAAAAACAACGGCTAAAAAATCATAAATAACAAAAAAAATCCATTCAGAATGATCGATTGATCTAGAAACAGAAACAGAAGTTTTCGTTACGAAATATAAATTTAAAATTGTTATTCTGATAAAATGGTTTGCCTACTTTGTGCATAAAATAGTTATGCATTTTTGTACATCATTTTACCAGCAATCATTTAAGTCACAATTCGAAGACAAAATTAAGTTATTATGCTTTAGACTTCATTCAACATAACCGAGAAAATTTAGTTTTTGTTTTGTAAACTGAAGTCGAGCCACTCATTCGCTTTTTCCGATAAGTCAAAGTAAAAAAAAATCATTTATTCCGTAGGCAATATAAATTACACAACACTTGGAATCAATTTTGTGTGGAGTCTAGAGCCATGTCGTCTTTCCGTGCATCTTTATCTAACACGTAGTCTTCAATTTTGTAATATGACTTTTCAATTAAATATTCACAATGATAGAAAAACAACAAGAAATACTTAGTTTTCAGGCGGAGGAAAGACAAGAAGATCTTTACGGGTAATTTCTCTAGTAGCCGTGGGCGATTTCATTTACACAGTAAAATCAAGAGGAACCCACGTGGCCAGCCGATAGAGTAGACTGGTCCGAGGAGGAGCGCGGATGCTTGCTGGGAGGAGGGTAGCGGGGAAAGAGACGTGTCGGTGTGTCGTTGCCGCTCCAATTACCAAGGACCATCTAAGTAACCCCAGATCAGTCCGTTTGCACGGACTTCATCCGGTTCTCTCTACGGCTAGTGCCTTAGTGAGCCGCCCCGGGTGCACGTGCAGCACCCTTCCTATTTTCCAGATAGGTACCGGATCGGTGGGCACGCACACTTACCGTCGCGCTCTGTGCAACTAACGGATTGCCACCGCTGAGCCGTCGACTCTAAGATCACTACCAAATCTCCTCTTTGGTGGCGAAGCTGTAAGACACGCTCGCTTTCCGGCGCCGAAAAACGGCATGTCTCCAGTTTCCAAATTCCTACGCGACTGGAGGAACCGGAGGATGTCTAGCTCATTCTTTACTTGCTCTCCGAGCTAGTGCCGGAGACGCCGGTAGCTGTGTCCTGCGAGAATGTACCGACACAGATACTTAAAGGGCAACCAACGTGCCCAGCACGTCTCCTCGCCATTAGGCCCTCGTCTAGATTGCTACTAAGACTAATTACCTAATAAGTATCAACAAATCTAGACATATGTCTAGACTGCAACCTGTACCTGTACCTTGCAACCTGTACCTATATAGGTACAGGTTGCAAATATGGCCACGACATGTGACAGAAATATTTAGTTACTAAGGCTAGATAGAAACAAGGAGTTTTATGATATATATACATATATCATAAAACTAACGCTAACGCTAACATTTCTGTAACTTCTAAGTATTAGGGATATACATCCCTTATACTTAGAAGTTATTTTATAATAAGTAAGGTATATTCTACATGCTTACATAAAAGTAAAAATACTTGACTGGATATGCCTTAATTTTTAACGTTTACCTCGAAAAGCCAAGAACAAAAAAGTTAATTGAGTTCTTAGGTTTTCGCGATTGTTACACATAGGAAATGAAACTATTTTTCCGGATTTAAATCGAAACGTCGATATGTCAGTTTGTTTGAAAAACAAATTTTCGTGGGTTAAATCCAGAAAAATAGTTTCATTTCCTAAAAAAGTTTTTGTATTTGACTATTCTCGAAACAAAAATCTATTTTCATTATTATTTATAAACAGTCACCACATTATTCGTAAAATGTCAGTATGCTGGTAAATTCAACCACTATGTCCTTAATTAGGCCCACGGGCTTTTTCATTACATTTACCTAAATTTTCATTACATTACCTAAAGCCGTAATGGATTTATTTTTTAATTTAATTGCACTGTTCTTCTCAACGTCAAGATTAAGCAAAAAGTTTTTTCACTCGAAAAATCTGAATGTATTTTGCATAAGCTTGAAATATTTATTTATTTAATTGCCTATTTGTTGAACTAAACATTTGCAATATAACTATATTTTACTACATAAATTTTATATAGTATTCAAATTTTGCAGTATTTTTACATCATGGCTGTATGCATTTTTGCCTTTTACGACATATTTTTAGTTCGACTAGTAACTAGGAAGAATAACTATACTAGCCATCTGTTTAAATAAAAAATAAATAAAAATACCGCCATTTGCAAAATCTATTGTTGTGTTAAATGTTGAGACGACGCGATATTTATTCATCATCATCATATACAGCCTGACTTCACCCACTACTGGGTATAGGCCTCCAAGTTTCTGTACCAATATTCATATAAGAAAAAAATTATCATTAAATTTGTTTCCTCACAAAAGTGATGACAAACGTTGTATGTATGTAACACGGGCGGTTAAAAATTGCGAACATCTAGTCCTCGAGTCATTGAATTCTAGAATTCTAGACTTACCGCCCTAAATACACAATGTACTTAATATTGTTTTTCAGATTTTATTTTTATTACTAGTGACGCGATGCGCGAGGTTTCAAACCAAAAAATAGAAATTTCCTGCCGAAATTTCTTATAATAATTTTAACATTTATGTATCTTAGTTTTGCAATCCGTTTTTAATATTTTCAAGGCCGGAGCTACGTTTGCTCACTGTACAGCAGCAGTCAGCGCTAAAAGGGGGCACTCATTATCCTGCATTGCAGTCCACCTTGCCATCCGTCGGGTAATACAGGTTTATAAATGTAGTCCCAGCGTGCAAGTAATCCTGCAATGCGTCCTGCGAGACTCCATAAGTGGGCCGTACACGTAACGTATGCTAGCAGCTAGCAGTTTTCTAATAACTAGTAGTCTCCTGTCTGCGCGGTGGACTGCCATTGCAGGTAGTGAATGGGCCGGTTTAGACTTCACGCCACTCTGGATCCACGCAAATAGGTAACCCGTGTGCACGCTCTTGCTCTCATTTTTGTACCGAACCCGTAGATGACCCTTTCCCTACCTGCATGACAGTCCGCAGCGCAGACGAGAGACTGCTCACATACTATCCTGCGTATGGCCCATATAAGGAGTCTCGCAGGACGCAATGCAGGATGGCTTGAACGCTGCGACTACATTTATATTTATAATCCTGCATTACGCGGTGGACGGCGAGGCGAACTGCTACGCAGGATAATGAATGCCCCCTTTTAGGTTGGAAAAAAAATAAAGGAAACCGAACCGAACGTATGTGTTATGTGACACATTCATCCTATACGGTGTGATACAAAATGAGATAGGAAGGAGCAGGATGGCTTGAAAGCTTGTTTGACAGGTGACGTCATTAATATCGATGTCATTTTGCCTTTGTTTTGACAAAAATAAATATGGTTTTACATTTTCAAAAAGGAAAATAAAGATATAAATTGAGTTTTTATCAGACGCTATCACCTCAGGTCGATACGAGGCCACTAACATATACAATATAAGTACTTACATAGTTGCGCTCGTTCGGCGTGATAGTTGTTTATCGCTGGAAATTCTATAAAAGGGAACCTGACAGCGACTCTGCGGTATTTGCGTAGTCGGTGCGCGTTCAGTGTGTCTCTTCGTTACTCTGCAACAAGAATAATGGCGTCAAGGGGCCCAGCCGCTGACCAGCTCGTCCACTTCAAAAAATCCGTCAAGGTAGGTTCTCAAACAATCCCGCTGCATGTGTTTCATTCCATTTAAGGCGAATCTTTCTAAAAACCTAAAATTGTGCCAATGAAAACCGCTGCGTACTATGTACTCAATTATCATTTCATTAGAATTTGTAATAAGTAACTTGTTTTGAGCCTCTAGGAACATTTGTCATTGTAGAAATTGTAAGTGAGAATTACATATTTCTAAATCCATATTTCAATTGTCACATAAGCAATTAATTTGTATGTACTTAATAAACGATGTTAAGAAACAATATTTTCCAAATCATTGTAAACTATGTTGTATGTGTTGCATTTTTACAAAACATTTTCAAATTTATGTTAATTGCAAATATATATTGTTGTGCTTAAAATAGTGTGCTTCTCAAAGTAATGCAAATTGGTTTTTTTTATAATACTTTGACAAAATTGCCCTTTACTCCTTGTTATTTTACTAACACCATTATCTTTGGCTGTGCTTTATTTTACATCATTAACTGTACAAACATGTGAAAAATTTTTTGATAAATATTTTCGTGATAACCTACAAGTTGTTTTAATAAATTAGATAGTATCAACCTATTCTTATGATCCGTTTTAACCAGGCTCTGATTTGCTCAAAAATAGTTAGAAGAAAAAATTAAATGTGATAAGAATCAACTTAATTTTAATTAATTATCTGATAAGTGTTATATCATATAATACTGTTAAGATAATTCAAAAATAAAAATTAACTATAGCTTTTGTCTTTGTAACAAGTCTTTTCTCTTCTGAACTTTGCTAGACCTTTAGCATGTCTAAAAGTAGGGCTTGCTTGGCATATAAATTTTAGGATTACAAAATAGTTGTTATATGAGGTGTATTTTTGTCTTGTTTACATTAACTTTACTCTGGTAATTTTCCACTGATATCATATTGTGATGCAAGCATAAAGCTTTGAGCGGTTTGATGATTGTCACAGTTATGTGACTTGTCATTAAATGTAATTACTTGTTTCATAAGTAACTACCTGATAGTCATTCAAAATAAATTAAGAAATAGTATTTAGATGTAGATCATCAAGTATATAACCAGAAATAGAGATCAAATAAGGGCCATATATTCCTGGTAACACATTAACGATACAGCTCTTATAAATATCAACTCCCGTTTGCACTCAATTATAGACAGGCCAACTACCGACCAGTACGTATGTCTCCGTGTATTCTAAAAAATATTCTGTATTTATTGTAATAAAGATAATATCTCTAACAATGCCCTGCTGTTCTATTCGGTGGTGTGGGGAAAACAGCAAAACATCTAATTACAAAACAAATGCAAGCACATTTCATCGGTAATTAAATATTAAATATGTAATTTTGCAATTTTCGTCCATTATAGCAAAGCTCAAGTTAACTGGTTGATTTGAAGTGAAACAATTGACGACACCCGTCAATTGTTTCGAACTCGGGCTAGCCAATTGGAGCGCAGTTGTCACAGTAATGATATGGCAGAATAGTTTTCAAACAAATTAAATGACATTTCGCCTCTATTTCTGGTTATATACTCGATGATGTAGATCAACCATAATATAACATTGAAATGTGTAGTTACTGAAAATTAATGTTAAAAATTACAATGCTAGCACTTGCATGAATAAGTGTTATGTTTTTATTTAGGTCTTAGTACTATAAGTATTGTATGATAATTCACCATTTTTTTATTTTGTCAATTCAATTTGAGTTAGACTCTAAACAATTACTTTATCTCTTAGGGTAATATTATATAACATATTACATATGCATATCATTTGATAATCATTATACTTTGCTAAGTTTTTTGTTTTACTATTTCAGGATTCACCTGGTTATATCACCACTAAATCTGGTGCACCAGTAGGAGTCTCAACTGCAATTCAAACCGTTGGCAAAAATGGACCTGCTCTCCTACAAGACACGATTTTCCTTGATCAAATGTCTGCCTTTGATAGGGAACGCATCCCGGAGCGAGTAGTGCACGCTAAAGGAGCTGGTGCATTCGGTTACTTTGAAGTAACACATGACATCACTAAATACTCTGCTGCTAAAGTATTCGAGAGCATTGGCAAGAAAACACCCATTGCTGTGCGATTCTCCACTGTGGGTGGAGAAAGTGGATCAGCTGACACTGTACGCGATCCAAGAGGTTTTGCAGTTAAGTTTTACACTGATGATGGCAACTGGGATCTTGTTGGCAACAACACCCCCATCTTCTTCATTAGAGATGCAACTCTCTTCCCAAGCTTTATTCACACTCAGAAAAGAAATCCTGTTACACATTTGAAAGATGCTGACATGTTCTGGGACTTCTTGACTTTGAGACCAGAATCAATTCATCAGGTCCTGTACCTATTTGGAGACAGAGGAATTCCTGATGGCTATAGGCACATGAATGGATATGGCTCTCATACCTTCAAACTGGTTAATGCACAAGGAGTGGCTAACTGGGCGAAGTTCCATTATAAGACAAATCAAGGTGTCAAAAACTTGCCAGTTGACAAGGCTGCCGAGCTTGCTTCCACAGACCCGGATTATTCTATCAGAGATCTCTATAATGCGATTGGTAGAGGAGACTTCCCATCATGGACCTTTTACATCCAGATCATGACTATGGCTCAGGCTGAGAGCTGCAAATTCAACCCATTTGATGTGACTAAGATCTGGCCTCATGCTGAATACCCTCTGATTCCAGTAGGTAAACTAGTTTTGGACAGAAACCCCAAGAATTACTTTGCAGAGGTTGAACAAATTGCAATGAGCCCTGCCAATTTGGTACCGGGCATTGAACCTTCTCCTGATAAGATGTTGCAGGGACGCCTATTCTCTTACAATGACACTCACCGTCATAGACTTGGGGCTAACTATCTGCAAATTCCTGTGAACTGTCCTTATCGTACAACTGTTTCCAACTACCAACGCGATGGACCTCAAAACATTCAGAACCAAGAGGGTAGTCCTAACTATTTCCCCAACTCATTCTCTGGTCCACAAGAATGTCCAAGGGCCCAGCGTTTGCAGCCAAGGTACAATGTTAGTGGAGACGTCGATCGGTATGATAGCGGTCAAACTGAAGACAATTTCTCGCAGGCTGCTGTACTTTACAAATCAGTTTTCAGTGATGAAGAGAAACAACGCACAGTCAACAACATTGTTGGAAATCTCAAAGATGCGGCTGCGTTCATACAGGAGAGGGCGATTAAAATCTTCACCCAAGTAAACCCTGATTTTGGTAGCAAGGTTGCTGCTGGCTTGGCTCCTTACAAGAAATATCACGCCAACTTGTAGTGTCCACTGGGTGCTATTTTTAATTTTATTTAGGTATGAAAATAAGCGTAAATGATATAATTTTGTTACGATCCTTTGGGTACAATCGGTTTTTATACTTTGGAAGCAAGTTTTTAAGAAGCACTACCATAATAAATGAACTATAATTTACATATTGGTTTTAATTACGTCGCAAGAGTGTAGGTATACCACTATGAATATATTATACTGCTCACTAAACGTGTATATATATATATATATATATATATTTATATATATATATATACATAGTGTCTATGTATATATGTATATATATATAAATATACATATATGTTACGTATTAGAGCAATGATCTTATAAAATATACTTAAAAAAGTATTGGGGTCTTAAAACTTTTAGAGATGTGCACGACGCTGCCGCCGCCGCTGTGTTAAAGATCCTTTAGGTTTAAAAGATAATTGTTTGATTCTTATAGGATGGAAAAAAATTTGATTCCGCTATCTCAAAGTTATTCTTTTTGTATAAAAAGTGTATCAAACTGTTTAGTGCGTACATCCGGTATTAAAGTGCTTCCTTTTTTATCTGTCTACTTACGTCATTTATTTTATGTTTTGTACGTATATATTACATTATTTTTATTGTTTTTGTATTTACATTTAACAACCCTTTTATACAAATGCAATTGTGATGAACTTTTTGGTAGAACGCCAGAAATAACGATAGCTGTTCAATTAATGCATCGAAGCCTTGCGAAAACGGCCTGCAAATATCTAAAATGTGGCAAACAACCATGTAAGGTAACTAGTATTTATTCTCTATACACTATTACAAGACAACTTGGTAATTCGTTTTCAATAAACGCAGGTCAGCTAGGGGTCGGTTAACCGCGTAATTTGAATAAATAATGTAGCACTGTAAATAACAATGCTAGAATTTTAATATTTTGAAAATTGCCTGTAACGATCTTGAATACACTACGTTTGTTATGTACTGACCTACGTAAGTGTCACTAGTAGTTCACCAGTAGTTACAAATAAGGAACAAAAGATCTAAATTCTCAAAAGTTCCGATGAACAACGTAAACTGACGTGGGATGAGTTTGTTACTACAAAAGAATAATTGACTTAACAGGTTTGCAGCATGATCTGCCAACATTGCTTAGGATGCCCTCGTTTTGATAGTGAACATAAATGCGTAGATTATAAGGGGTATTCTGCCAGAGCTGAATCTGGAGACTGCAACGAGGGTGGCGATCGTGGTTACCAATGGAAGTGTGTGATATGCCATAATGCAATTTGCAGTACAGACAACCCTAGCACAAAAGAAAGTTTACTTGTTTTAATCAACGCTATCGCAGAGAAGTTTGAATTAGTAAATAAAATACAGATTCCGAAATTGAACAATGACTTGATGCATATAAAATCATTAACTGAACATATAGTGAAACAAAATGAAGATATCCTTCTGAAGGTTGCTGAACTGGACAAGAGAACAAAAATTGAACTTGAAACCAAAACAAAAATTAAAAATGAATGTCGTGGTGACGGCTCTCGGTCTCATCACAAACCCACTTATCGTAAAAGAAGTTTCACCATTGCGTCAAAACCAAAAGAAAGTGCGAATAAGTATAACAAAAAAGGGGAGAAGGAATTGGTTACATCTGTGTCCTTGTCTGAGAAAAATCTTCGCTTTAGTACTCGACGAAGATCTTATGCTTTACATAAGATGTTTCTTTTAATCAACAACAGAAATCGACAAAGAAGCTCTAGGCAGAGATGTAGTAATATTTGAAAAATAAAAAACATTTGTGGGATCCATATTTTTTGGTTTTATTTTTGTAAGGGGATAAAAGTGTAATGAAAATAAATTAACATCTCGAAAGACAATGTATTGTATTAATTGCTTACAGTGAAGTATAAATATCTAAACAATCATTATGACTTTCTCTGTTGTTATGTTCACATACTTCTCTTTGAGTTTGTTGATATCAATTGTATCAAAATCTTTAAATAGATAAGAGAAAAAAACGTCGTTTTACAACCTGACTTCTACTTTGTTTATCAAGGAACCTGTTTGCCTGCTTTACAAATAGTCTACCGAGCTATACCTACCTAGTTATTTTACAACGTCGAACAAGTATGTTGATGATATTTTCGAATACCTTTTTTGAAATAGATAGAAGTACGTCATTAGACTTATACGCCTATGCATGATGTGGTGTCAGAACGGAAACTAGTGCTTTCTACGAACCTGAGAAGACAAAAGAAAGGTTAAGTATCATATTCAATCTGAGTTCATTGCCTAGGTGAAGTTAGTATAAAAGACGGTGGACTTGTTGTGTGATTCCATTTTGGTTTTTGCCACGGCCATGGACATTTATGGTCTTTAGTAAGTACCTTTATCTGCTAGTGGTGTTACATAATTATTAAGATGTCCAAGTTTTATTTCCAAATCAAGTTATTCTTAGTGATAGGATATTTAAAATACATAGTGAGCAGTGAAAAGCAGCCTACAATCGCTACACCTTTGGGTGAAATCAAGGGATATTACCTGAAAACACGTGGAGGCAGGCAAATATCCGCATTCACAGCTATACCTTTTGCAAAACCTCCTCTGGAGAATCTTCGTTTTAAGGTAGATATTTTTACATTTTCATGTTAGGACATTTTTGTAGCCGTAAATTTTTCTTAACGTACTGAAACTCCATAGTTCTATTTATTGACTGTGTATCATGAAATTACTCATTTCTTTATTTTATTTCTTCATTTTTCTGCTTTTCCCGGACTGCTTCGCAAGTTGTTTTTTTTAACATCTGAAATTTAAAGTTCGAAAGTTCTGTAACCTTAATACAGGACGATAACAAGTCCAAGTATAATTTTAATAATACTTTCATTTTTTAGCACGTAGCAAAAACTTACCCTTATGCCGATGGTTTTAAGATTGACTTTCGGTTGTTTTAAGACGAATTTCAGTTTTAATCAAGTTTGTGCACTTTGGTTGAGTTTGAAACAGGTAAGATTGGCTTTTATCAAAGGTTGCAGATATATTTTGAACAATAATCTCAAATTTAGGTAAAGATATTTTTGAGGCTGCCAGTTTACGTAGTGTTATAAATACTGCATCTCTATACAACAACGAAGTGTAGTTACACACTCTGAAGACCTGATTATGGCAGCATCAAACACTGTGCAAGGGCAGGAATAGTCGCCAAATGCTTATCAGAACTCACGCGGGCTTGGGCGCCACTAGTTCTATTGAATAGTCCAATAGAACTACTGGGACTTTTTTCTCAGTTGTTCTATTAAATTATATTTCAATAATAATAGAACTAGTGGAAAAAATCATTGCTGGTAGCTATTAAGCACATCCCAATCTCAAGCGTGACTGAGAAAACAGGTTTGTATTAACAGCAAAATTGAAGTCTTCCCAATCCCAAAACAATTTTGTTAACAAGCGGAGATTGTTTTGATTATTTAGTGAAAACCTTTTGTTTGAAAAATATGTGATGTAGCCCTTAAACGCCATTGGTTTACAAGAATAAGTAAACTGCAGGTGGCCGCTACTGACAGCCGATGCCAACACTCTAAGGCTCAACTCACACCAGCGCAGAGTCGAAGCGTCGCGTCGCGTCCTGTTTTTCAACTACAACGCCTGGCGACGCGCAACGACGTGGTTGGCGTCTGACGCTTCACTGCGCCTTAAGTACCGCACATCGACGCGTGAAGCCGCTCGACTCCAACCAAGCGGCTCTCCATATTTGCATAACACAAATTTGTACCTTAATAATGGGAAAATAGAGATGAATATACTATAAGCGAAAAAAATGACGCTTCGCGACGCTTCGACTCTGCGCCAGTGTGAGTTGAGCCTAAAAGAACCCATAAGATCAACGCGTCGAATTTGCTGATATTAAGTTCTGCCTCGAAGAAGTTGAGATATTTCTTAAGTTAATGTTGTCCTCGAATAGGGATCGCGATACGCAGAGCGTTCGCTCACTCCGTCCGTTCCGTACCACTTCCGATTCCAAGAAATGGCAATGTGAGGTAACTACTCGTAATATTATTTATATGAAGAATTGCACGCTAAATCCGAATTCCGTCTTCCGAAGTAAAGAATACTTTCAATTCGGATCATCACATTCGTGGACCGAAGTAACTACAGTATTATTTTGGATTAAGTATGTGAGATCATTGGTGTTATTAACACATCCGTATTGTGTCCTTCTATATCTAAGGTCCCAACTCGCCGACGGGCGGTGGAGGCTGCACGGAAGAGTGGAGAGAAGGTGCAGGTTTCGATACATACATATTTTGGTAAAAAAAAAGGTCAATGCATACACAGGTACAATTACATTAATTATACCACTTTTGTAATAATTATAAATTTTCTTGCTATCATGACTTATATAGTTAAACTAGATGGCGCGCGATGCGCCGGGCCGCTAAAGCGGCCCGCGAGGGCTTTCTTTGGGGCTCGTGTGACAGGTTGGGAATTAGACTTCATATTTCAGTAGAGAATCCTCTTTGGTTGAGTTTGGATGGGAGGAAGCAGGGTTGTCGACTGCTCCAGTTAAGTTACATGTAGGGGTAGTTGGTGCGATCGCGTCAAGTTGTATCCTTAAATATCTCAGAACAAACCAGTCGTATATCATTGACAACTGCGAAGATTCAGAATAGTCAATTCCGTATGGCGGCCATCTTAAATTCGTCATATCAGAACACTTTCGATTCTGGTAGAACCTGACTAAGATTCTTGACAACTTTTATTTGAGAGCCATGTGCCCATCTACGATACTTGAGCGAACAGCCTCTGTCCCTCCTGATGTGGAGCACTATTCCAAGATATCCGGATTTTCTCGTACTCACTGAACCCTACTATCGCTGTTCCTTCTGGGAGAACTATTACCTAAATGTCTACATCAGTCAGTAGTAATCGAGCTACACACGTATAGTATGTTGCGCGTTGCGCTGGGCCGCTAAAGCGGCCCGCGAGGCCTGTGTCTTAGGCTTGTGACAGTTTGCTGGTTGTAGTGTTTGTTTCAGAAATATATTTTTGTTAACTTTATTTGGTTCTGAGGGAGTCAAGTAGTTGGTATGATCTCGTCAAGTCGTATCCTTACATACTTCAGAAGAAACTACTCATACATCATCAATAATTGCGAAGATTCAGTAAAGAA